ACTGTAAGACATGCTAGGGGTTTAAATCCAACCACATATCCTTCACCCAGGCTCTAAAATACATTCAGATGGAAAGATGTGGACAATGTAATAGTTGGGCCAGAGTTAAAATAGCATTGTACCAGAAAATGTATCCATCTGGAGATCCTGGGCAATACAAATTCCCTGACAAAGGGATGGGAAACATTGATTAATTCCCGAACTGCCCAGGTTTGGTGCTAACAACTCACCAGTATTTGAAATCAAAATGTAAGATTTCACCTTCAGAAAACAGCACACTAATGCATCTCAGGAATTCTTAAGATTCTGATAAAACATACAAAACGTTTTGCTCAGAACGAGAGCAAAATGTACAAAATGTTTTGCTAAGAATGATCGAGTGTTCTCCAAAGAGAGATTGGGAAATCTTTTAGACAGATAAGATCTAAGTCATCTTGAGGGACTTTAAAGTAATGTCCATATAGCATTACTCTAGATTTCAGCATGAGAATTGACCAACCTTGGGTAATAGCAGAAACATGTTATAAGCACATTATACGAGTGTGAAACAGAGGTTTGCATATATCTCTACTGCAGAAAATCACGATGAAAACATAATGACCCCATTGAAACAAAGTGTGGAGAGATCATTGTTTCTCCTGGATTGATGCATACATGGACAATTGACTGAACAGGGCTGAGACTGCCTAAGTATCTGAAGCAGGCTGGAATATATAAATAAATAAGATTGGGATCTGAAAATGGGTTCTGAGACAGGACTCTGGGGATCTTCTACAACGCAGTTAAACAACAACATGGAAAACTGAAAAGGTAGGACTAGAAAATCAATATTATGAAGGCCAAGGCATCTGGTGAATTTGTGCTAACAGAATTTTGGCTATGCTATTGAGTTACACACAATACTTTGGCCCAGGAGTGGGGATCAGCTGCCTTTTTCTCTCTAAGAACAACAAGCTTTCTCTGCAAGATCACTTTAAAGAACGGAAGCTTGTGAAATATTCAACAATTAGCCACTGGAGAGCTCAGAAAACTCTGTCATTGTGGGCAGCTGACATCTGCTTTTGCACACTAGAATGGACCCAAAACATCACATTTTGGATGACTTCCTGGACAAATGTTATCCTTATCTACCTGTAGCATTTTTCGCACATCCTTATTCCAAATTCTAGGGTTAGGGTTACTAGGGACGCAATGGCTCAGTGGCTAAATGGCTATGATGCTGAGCTTGTCAATCAGAAAGGTCAGCAGTTCAGCGGTTCAAATCCCTAGCACCACGTAACAGAGTGAGCTCCTGTTGCTTGTCCCAGCTTTTGCCAACCTAGCAGTTCGAAAGCAGGTAAAAATGCAAGTAGAAAAATAGGGACCCCTTTGGTGGGAAGGGAACAGCGTTCCGTGCACCTTCGGCATTTAGTCATGCCGGCCACATGACCACAGAGATGTCTTTGGACAGCGCTGGCTCTTTGGCTTTTTAATGGAGATGAGCACCGCCCCCTAGAGCTGGAAATGACTAGCATGTATGTGTGAGGGGAACCTTTACATTTACCTATTTCAAATTCACCTCAAATGGTAGCTTGTGGAGAAACGGGAGGGCAAATCTGAGAATGGTCACTGACCTTTCTAAATACCCTGGAATGGATCTTCCCAGGATTCAGTGAACAACTGTGGATCAAATTAGTTTGATTGTGGAAGCTATTGCATTTTACCAAGCAGATATCTCCCCAAAGTCCCAGCAACACTGCCTGTCTGTTCTCCAATGCATTCTATTTTGCAATCCCAGGGATGCTTCAATCACAATACGTAAACGAAGATTCAGTTATCCAGCCAAAAGCATCTTAAAAAAGGCAGAATCATGACAACTGGAACAAAATGCAGGTGCTTCATTCACAAGTGGGATAGTCTTCCTTCCTTCCCACTTTTCACTTCACTTCACTACTAGAAATCCTTGTAGTTTGCATAGACAGTTTGGCAATAGATTGGAGCTCCACAAAGATATTATGTACAGCCATTTCTCACTATGTCCCAAGGGCCTTCAAAATTGGGGGGCCTTGAGGGTTTTTTTAAGGATAAATCTGGAATAGTGCCTTGGTTTCTATAAAGTTGGATTAAGATAGTGGGTACCACTGGGTACCAAAGGTTTGTATTTTATGAATTACACATTGCCCTGTGCCTTGCAGAAGTGGAGGCAAGAGCCTTATCTTTCTCATGAGAAATTACTAGTAGCACCATCTCCCTACCCTCATCTGAATACCTGCTATCACATGCATACTCCTATCTACCATGAAATTCCAGATGGACATGTTTTTGTCATTTTGTCACCTGGGAGCACTCGTTTTGATGCTTCTTACCCAGATTGCTTGCTGGACCTAAAAGAAATGAAGATGTTCCTCAGCTTCCATCACTTGATCAACCAGCAAGTTGACCAAACAACCCTTTGTGGGAGAGCCCACCAGGTGTACACAAAGAGAGAACGCGCTGTTGTGAGTTATACTCCCTGTCCTAGATGTTTTATCCCACAGTTTTATAACTTGGTTAATTAGGAGCTCCCATGCTACTATTGACTGCATCAAAATCTCATGTCATCTCATGTCACATCCATAAAGTTACGTTTTCTCTATGCTCTGAAATGAACCTATTAGCAACCTGTTGAGTGTTTTCCGGCACACAGCTTCTAATTTAACCAAGTTGAAGGACATCCCTTGATGTACACCCAGCCACCATGCCATCCTCCTTTCTTTCTGCAGAGCCCTCAAGAGGGAGAACCTGGAAGACGTTTGCTAAGACCTGACTCCCCACATCGAAGCATTCCTAGTTTATTTGCTGCTGTGTAGCAGTGAGACCTCTTAGGGGAGTTTGCTCTCGTTGACCCAGCAAACTTCTCAGCATTGCAAGCTCACAGAGAAAGTACTTTTTTTTAAGCGACCACATGCTCAACGAGACACCTTTGTGGAAATGAAATGTGAATTCTCAAGCTGTGCTTCATTGCCATCCATTTTCCTCAAGAGGAAACAAAAAAGAAAAGAAAGGAAAGGAAAACCAAGCCTATCTCCGTCTGCATATCAGGCGCAAATAGCTGAACCAGAGTAACACAGCTAAGAATCAGGACGTCCGGGAAAATAAAACAAAACAAATTAAGTTAACTTGCTTACCTGTCAGAACCCAGCATGCCTCAGCCAGCTCATGCAAAATTGTCTTATTCATCAAACATGTGTGTATGTGTGTGTGTGTGTGTATGTGTCTTCACTGCCAGAACACGATAAGCACACTGGGAAGGCAACATAGCATGCAAGAGCTTTAACATTCATTGTTCCACATGAATATATAAATGTATCTATATATCTATATTTCTCTTAAGAAACAGATTCATGAACAGCACTTTGAGAATTCAGGTGCCCAACTCAAGAACTGATTCAACTTTAGAGGCAATTTTTTGTGTGTGTCTTCCTCAAAATGGAATAACGTTCAGAAATGCTTCTCGAAAATATTCTCCATCTGGAATAGATCTCTACACCTCTGAAATCTGATTCTTGTTCTAATCACCTTGACTTGGTCTTGTGATGGAAATATAAAAACAACCCCCTCTGAGCTAACATTCAACTCTCTTTCCCCGATTTAATTGTAACTGGAGAAAATGATTATTCCTGCCTAATGGGATTTTCCATTCGATTTGCTACTTAAAAGGACCGTATATGATTTCTGTTGAATTTATTTTGAGGCTGTAAGGTATAGATTGAAAATATATTGTGTGTCAGAGACTTCATTTTTTAAATGTCTAAATCTCAAGAATTCAGCAATTTTGCCCTCAAGATGTTGGAATTTTTTTTTTCAATGTCATTTGCAAGACGAATAACCAGCTCTCACCAGATTTCACAATCCTATGAGATTTCAGATGCTTTAATTTTATAAACATTTTAAACTATTATGTAATTTGGGAGTTTTGCAAATGCCCTCTTGGGTATTCACTGATTTCTGTGATGTTCCTGTTCTTGTTGATTTCCAGCTAATGGGCAGAAGTAAGAAATTCCAGGGTGTGCAAAGAGAGACCCTGAAGAATGGATTTAATTCCCCTGATGAAATCAATAACTGTGTTTTTCCTAGTGGATGAACAACTCTGCAGCTGCATTTTTGCAATAAGCTGAAGCTAGATGGTTACCGTTAACTTTGCTTTAGGTTTCTGCTTTGGGTTCATGTCTTATTCAAAAACAACTGGAATTTTTTACATTCATGTTTAAGTGCATTGTAGCACTCAGAAGAGTTAATTCAGGACCCAGCTTAAGCACACTCTGTTTACAGGGCAATTTTAGGTATGTTTACTCAGAAGTGTGAGAGGTGAGGTTAACTCCTCAGTAACTAAGACACTTAAAAATTACTTTTGAATAGAGCCCAAACGGGATTATAGTGTTACAGAATTAATGCTATACAAACTCACTTAGATGTACAATACATCCTACTTCTGATACCAAGACTTGGTTCAGTGGCTTAAGGTTTTAAATATGTTGTGGAAATAAGACTACAGAAGAGAGGAAAGAGAAGAGTCTCTGATTTTCAGTTTTCTTACACCTAATTTTCATGCTTGCTTGTAAATATTTTCAAAAGCCACAGGGAAACACACATGCATTTTCATGTACCCTCTACTGCTTGTGCATACCCATTTCCCTAATGTACTGCTTTGGGGAACACCCCCACCCCAAAAGTATAGTTTTCATGCTGACTTTGCCATGATAGATGAATAGGTGAGTTCTACTTTCCTCAAGTGGTACCCTGCATGTATGTGGGAGGCTGTTTATCAAAATGATGGGCACGGACACTGAACAGATAGAGGCTAACTCACTGCAGAAGAACCATCAAGCCTTAGTCAAAGCTATTCATGGATTTCAAGTCTAGAAGCTCTTGCTATGCATGGAGCAAGGAAAGAAAACGGTGACACGAAAGCCAAGGTGGGTCCAAAAGAGCATTGTGCTTCCCAAGTCAAGGATCTATTCAGTACAAAAAGGAAATCTTACCTATCACTGTAGGCAGTGGCGGTAGCGGTAGTAGGTTGGGCATACCGATAGGCTGCATACCCCCCCTGAAACACAAAGATTTCATAATCAGAGAAGGAATCCAGAGAGCAAGCCAAATGCAATCCCCCAACGTTCCCCCAACCCTACTTTATAGGGTTTATCCCAACCCTATTTTAGGTTTTTCCTCTTCTGCTGGAGATATTGATGGAGGTTGTCAATCATCCAGGTCATGGTTTTCCCCAAAGATGCTTTTCAAAAGACAACTGAACTTTCTTAAGTTTTGTGTTTTTTTTTTTTAATGTTTTGCTTCTCATCCAAGAAGCTTCTTCAGTTCTGACCTCAGAACTGAATGGATGAGAAGCAAAACATTTTCAAGGGGAAAAAAAAAACCACATCAAGAAAGTCCAATTGCCTTTTGAAAAGCACATTTGGGACATTCTGCTGGAGGGATCCCCCAATTTGAAAATGACAGACTTGGAAACCTTCTGATACAACCTGCTGAATGGCTAGGAGGCCCCCGGGAGGATGTCAACATCAGAGGCAGGGTGTAAAAGGAAAGGCAATTTACGGAAGAAACCTATGGGTAGCTTCCTCAGGAGGGAACTCCAAGGAGTTTAGGGAACTAGATTTCATCAAGGACTCCAAACATCTTTAAAAAGCTTAGATGTATTGACAAGAAAGCAGAGGAAAGAGACATACGGCCAAGTAAATCAGAAAGGGCTTTGACAGAGTATGTCATGATGACATGGTTAATGGTTTAGCATGCTGCAAAGACCAAACCAACTGTAGTTAATGCAACAAGCCATCATTAAAACAAATAATGCTTCAGTAATGAGTTGGGAATTCAGTAGTCTGTGCAGTTGTCTAGCTACAGCCATGCGAGTTCATGCGAAGCTGTGGTTTATTTTAACCATGGGTTCTTTCACAAGCCAAATCTGTCTTGAGGATAAGAAAATGTTGATTTGGTCAATACCATGTCTGGCTTCTCCTTTTTTTTTTTCTGTTTGCAGTTGATTTGCCTTTGGTTTTAATAGGTTGGTTTGGTGTTTGGATGGGAAACAGAAACAAATCAGTAGGAAGCTGCAATCAAACCAGGGATCCAACATCACTTTTGACCAAAATTGCAACTGGTAAGTCAGAATGTAATCATGGTTTCAAATAATTGACTGCCCTGAAGCAAGCAAAGTTCTGTTCCCTTCTTTGCTGACTCCAGGGACTCATCCCAGCTAGTCAAAAAAGTCATCCAATGCTCTTCTTCCACCTCCACCACCACCACCACCACCTCCTCCTCCTCCTCCTCTTCCTCCTCCTCCTTCCTTACTAAAGCCTTAGTAAGACCACACCTAGACTACTGCATCCAGTTTTGGTCACCACACTATAAAAAGATGTTGAGACTCTAGAAAGAGTGCAGAGAAGAGCAACCAGGATGATTAGGGGATTGGAGGCTAAAACATATGATGAACAGTTGGAGGCACTGGGCCTGGCTATTCTAGGGAAGAGAAGGACCAGTGGAGACAGGATAGCAGTCTTCCAATATTTGAGGGGCTGCCACAGAGAGGAAGAGGGGGTCAAGCTATTCTCCAAGGCACCTGAAGGCCAGACAAGGAATAATGGATGGAAGCTGATGAAGGAGAGATTCAACCTGGAAATAAGGAGAAACTTTCTGACAGTGAGAACAATCAACCAATGGAACAGAAGTTGCCTTGGAAGTTGTGGGAGCACCATCACTTGAGACTTTCAAGAAGAGATTGGACTGCCATTTGTCAGAAATGGTGTAGGGTCTCCTGCTTGGGTAGGAGGTTGGATTAGACCTCTACAAGGTCTCTTTCAACTCTGATGATCTGTTATCTATTATCTCCAGTGGAGACTTGAACATGGGCCCTTCAAGGCTCAGATCTTCCAGCTGAGTTCTGACTTGCCCAGTTACCTTCTAAAAAGCAAAGCGCTTATAAAATAGCTATCTTCTGCTCTTCATTCCCGTGAAACTCAGCTTTGTTATTCCTCTCTCTCTCGATGCAGTCTTGCAAAGCAGATGGAAAAAAACTTTAAGATCAAGAGATGCGTAGGGAATTACATATCATGGAGTTAGCAGCCATGATGCATGAATTTAAATAGGCACCACCACAACACAAATTTTGGTCTAATCCCAAAAAGCAGACCAGTTTTCATTCCTGTTCTTGGCCCTGCATTTTTTTTTATTCTGCTTTAACTTGTGATGCCAGTGGGGAAAAACAAATAAAACACAACTTTGGGGGCTGCCATCCTAGCATGGTAGGGATAGATAAGATTTTATGACAGTCATAGACCAAGAAAAAAAGATACCACTATAACAAAGCCATTAGCATAGCCATGAGCTTCCATTACAGCTCGTGGCAGGGGGGAGTTTACACACAGAATAACAAAGCTTGGCAACATTTAAGGACAACAGTCTTTGTTATCTGATAGGTAATGTGAGCAAAATAAATCAGAATGCCCTGTGAATTTAGAGAGAAGAGAGGGGAGATTGCTTGCAATCCCTGTGGAACTGGCAACAAAACACAACAAAGGATGAGGTTTCTACTGCACCTGCATCACAGCAATAAAATTGCTACAGGGGGAACATTAAAACAAGCCAAGGATGAAGTTCTGAATTTCGAAACGGTGTTCTTGTCTAGCTAACCAGCCAATTTGTATTTGGAAGCTAGTTGATATTGTAAATACATTGTGGGCCTAAGCTGTGTTAATCAATTGGCCCTCTCCTGTCTAAAATTCCTTGTTTGAAAACCGAGTTGGCCAAAGAGCATAGAAGTGGAATTTCCCAGGAATTTTTTTTTTTCCAGGTGTACTCAAATCCTGGTATGGTAGATCTTTGGCCGACTTTGTAGATTGAACACTTGTGTCTCTGGAGGTAAGTAACTGGGTTTTTTGGTTCCATTGTGGAAGAGCAATGCATCTTCATCTTGAGGTTTCAGGTATCTGTTCCCAGTTTTGTGTAGTTGACCATCTTTCAAACGCCCATTGCTAAAAATAACTCCTATGACAACTCTTTTTTTTTTTTAGCAAACTCGGCAAAGTTTAAGATGTGTGGACTTTAATTTCCAGAAATTTAAATGGCTAACGTGGGACTAGAATTTACTGTCTCCCGGTGATGAGTCACGGTGGCACAGTGGTTAAAATACAGTATTGCAGACTACTTCTGCTGACTGCCATCTGCTTGCAATTTGGCAGTTTGAATCTCAGTAGGCTCATGGTTGACATAGCCTTCCATCCTTCCAAAGTCGGTAAAATAAAGACCCAGATTACTGTGGGCAATGTGCTGACTCTGTAAACTGCTTTACAGGGCTGTAAAGCACTGTAAAGTGGTATATAAGTCTAAGTGCTATTGCTATTCCTTCCTTCCTTCCTTCCTTCCTTCCTTCCTTCCTTCCTTCCTTCCTTCCTTCCTTCCTTCCTTCATTCATTCCCTTTCTCCTTCTCCTTCCTGGTAACACATTCTGACTGGCTCAAGGTGGACTCAGCCTTTTCTCCCTCTGAGGTGCATAAAATGAGGACCCAGATTGTTGGGGGCAGGAGGCTGATTCTGTAAACTGCACAGAGCGGGCTGTAAAGCACTGTAAAGTGGTATGTAAGTCTAAGTGCTATTGCAGTTGCTATTGGCTGGATAATTCTGGGAGTTGAGGTGCACACACCTTAAACTTGCCATGTTGGAGAAACACTGCCTTACCCTATTCTTCTGGAAGATCTCCTCCTATGTTATGGTGCCTTTTACTATTTGAGGAAGTTCACAGAGGTGGGACGTTTATATCAGTTGTTGATTTTTTGATTCTCACATTATTTCTGTGGCAATTAGTGGCATTTATTCTGCAAATTAGTTTTTCAATTGTGGAAGAGGGTTTGTGACATTCATGTTATGGAACAATTTGACTCTAATTAGTTGTTATATTTTTCTTTTACACACAGTACAGTTTTGCTATATATCTGGTAACATGCTCAGCTTCTGGCATGACATAAATACATAAATAAGGCTGCTACGAATTAGGATTCTGCAAATCAAATTAAGTTTTGATCCCCAAATGGAAACCTACACCCCATGGCAGAACTGTCTTAGTACTTTATCATATTCAAGATGAAGTTGTATGGCCTATCGGTCTAATAAATGAATAAAAAATAGTTAATGTGAAAATAGCCATATGCTTCAAGACTTGCAGACTAGTACTATTTGTGTCATGCATAAGTTCTTATTTACTAGTTGGAAGAGATATAACCATGAAAGATATATAGGTAAAATAAAATCTGGAAGGACATTCAACACTATCAGTTGAAAGCAGAGATATCTGTTGGGTTTAGTTAAAAAAAAATATCAAGATGGGGTGTCTATGATGATACAACTGACACTCAGCTTTTTTTTTTTAAACACACAATGCACATAAAAAGCCAGCAGAACTTTGATGATGCCATTAGACCTGCCATCTTGATGTAATATGAAATTAAACAAATAAAATAAATAGGTAACAATGGTCATGTTTGTATCGAGATGTGAAACCTGGAACCATACTGCTTGCCAAATGAGAATTTTTTATTTAAAAAATAAAATGAAAATAGGGAGAAAATTGAATAATGGAATTACTAGGTATGTTTAACTGATATGGTGGTAGGCATTTGGAGAGAGTAAGGTTGAAAATAATTATTGAAGAAGTATGAATATATGCAATGAGAGATGTATGATATATTGATGCCACCCTGTTAATGTATTGTTGTTATATATAGATTAAAATAAAAAAAATGGAAAAAAATAAATAAATCATATGAGGGTGATGGGACAACTCAACCATGTGTAGAGAAGAGTCTGCCATGGGTTAAAATGTGGAAGACGCTTCAAGTAGAAAAAAAAAACCCAACCACATATTATTATTATTTTTAAAAAGGCAGCAGGTTGGGAGGTATTGTAGAAAAGGAGATGCTTGAAGAAAGTATACAAATGAAATGGACATTTAGCTACACAACAGTTGCAGGTCATCAAGCAGGGTAGGTATCCCCAGACGATGTAATATGGGTAAAATAATAGGTAGAGTTTCAACTACACGGTTAGAGCTTCACTATTCCCTGTAGAAATCCCTGCCTTCAAGCCTACACATTTTGGTTGCCATGAATTGGCACTGGATAATCCTGCCATTCTGTTGGCAGGGGGTGGGGAGAAAGGCCTGCTGGCATTTTTCACATGTTTTTTTTGCTTTTGCTGTAACTGTTTGGGAATTAGGGAGGGGGATTGTCTTTGGAGATGGAGCAGGTTCCCTTCTAACTGGCTCCAGCCTGGTTCCAAGGCCTTCATGTCCTGAGAGCGAACTATTACCTGCCTAGCACCTCAGCATTCTCAAAACAACATTGTGGCGTCACATTGGCTGTCGGTGGACTGGTCAGAGGGTTAGGGCTCGGGAAACAAAAGAATTGCTGTGTGTTTTGCATGGGACTTTTCAGATCCTGCCTGGCTTTACTGAAGCCACTTTCTTTCGGTAAATGTTCTTTTGATTCAGCTTAATGGATTCAAGAGTTTTGCTTTCCTGGGGGACTAGCTGGGGCAAGTCCTTATTCACCTTATTCACCAATCATCTTATTCTTTGAAAGAATAATAACTGCATTGGATTTTCCAGTGTGGACATCAAAAATGATACAATATACTACTTAAAACATACTAAGGGAGCAGTTGCAGTATTCCAGTATTTGAGGGGCTGCCACAAAGAAAAGGGGGTCAAATTATTCTCCAAAGCACCGGAGAGCAAGACAAGAAGTAATGGTTGGAAACTAATCCAAGACAGAAGCAACCTGGAATTAAGGAGAATTTTCCTAACAGTGAGGACAATTAACCAGTGGAACAGCTTTGCCTTCAGAAATCATGGGTGCTCCATCATGGGAGGTTTTTAAGAAGAAACTGGACAAGCACTTGTCTGAGATTGTATAAGTTCTTCTGCTTAAGAAGGGGGCTGGACTAGAAGACCTCCAAGGTCCCTTCCAGCTCTATTCTATTCTAAGATTATCTTGTATGCATGCCTACAGACAGAACTTGAGATTTAATAAAGTTGAATCTTTTCTCTTTGTATCTGTATGCTTCTTCAATTGATATGGAACTGAGGCCAAAATCGTCTGAGTGTGAAAAACAAAGGAGAAAAGAAACACAAGAAAACTGCAGAGATTCACACTTCTGTAGGGATTCACGAGAATCTTGACTTCCTATTCTGGAAAGAATGTGGTTGGGTGTTTTTTGAGAGCCATTTTGGTCTAGCGGTTAAGGTATCAGGCTAGAAAGCAAGAGACCATGAGTTTAAGTCTTGCTTTTGCCACGAAAGCCTCCTGGGTGACTGTGGGCCAATCACCAGGAGACTGAGAGTTCTAGTCCTGCCTTAGCTGTGAAAAGTTAGCTGGGTGTCTGTGGGCCAGTCACGCTCTCTCTCTACCCAACCCAACTCAGAGAGTTTTGTCATGGGGAAAATAAAAGGAGGAAGGAGTGTTGGATATGCTCATCGCCTCATTTGTAAAAATAATAAAGCAAACCAAATAAACAAATAGAGCAAACAAATACATCTTATGTGCTGATCATCTCATTATGCAAAGTGAGTTTTAGTACAGAAGACCATCGCAATAAGGCCACAAAAATGTTGCTTTCTTCAACAATGAACCTGTCTGTGATGGTCGCTGGACTTGAGTTTTGTAAGCAGACAGCAATGGAAACATTATGAGGATCTGTATTAATTTGGGGATATTGTAATGGTGTAAGTTTAATTTGGGAATCTGTTAATTTGTGTCATTACAAAAAGTGTTTAATAATTATGGCATCTAAATGTAATTTACAGAAAATGTAGTTAGAGAAACAAAGCTTAATAGTGCTTAAATACTTCTATGGCTTTATGTTTACATGGCATGTATTTTCCCCTGAAGTTTGCATAATAAAGTTTATCCCAAAAAGAACTAGCAAAATGTTTGTGTATGTTCATTAGTGTGTGTAAAAGAAAAAAAAATGACGAAGTATACAACTAGTCTATGGCTAGTCTAGTGAAAAGCAGTCTTCCAGTATTTGAGGGACTGTCACAAAGAAGGGGAGGGCAAACTATTTTCCAAAGCACCCAAAGACAGAACGAGGAATATTGGATGGAAACTAAGCAAGGAGAAAAGAAACCTAGAACTAAGGAAAAATGTCCTAACTGTGAGAACAATTAATCTTTGAAATGGCTTGCCTTCAGAAGTTATGGGTGCTCCATCGCTTGAGGCTTTCAAGAGGAGACTGGGCAGTCATTTGTCTGAATTGGTATATGCTCTCCTGCTGAAGCAGGGGACTGGACCAGATGACCTGCAAGGTCCTTTCCAACTCTGTTATTCTATAATATGTTGTTGTTTTTTTTAAACTATAAGAACTTGTTCCTGCTCACTGAAATGTCCTTCTATTTAGGGCAGAGGAAAATGGTTTTGATTCTAAATCAAAACCTGGGATAAGTTGGATAAGGAAACCTACAGTATCCTGGCTGAAATACATTTTAAATCCAAATTTTTACTGGGTTTATGGGATATTCCTGTAATAAACAATCCCTTCATCCCCAGAATTAACATTTACTTGTATGTGACAAGTGAAGCTGTTCAATTAAGCAAAGCAAAGCAAACACACAGATGCGCTTACATGTTGGGAAGGAATGGCGTTCAATGATGCATTGATGATCAAACTGTGAAAACAGCCCTACTTCCTGCTCAACAGACCATGATGTTATCTCAACCATTTCCAAATGATCTCCCTACATGCCAATTAACAGCCAGAACTGGGTCTCCATAGATAAGACAAACAACATTTACATTCCAATTAGACTTTGCCCATCACAATCTCTATTGGGATTTGAAAGGTACTCCTCTTATTTAACCGACAGTTAATGGGAGGAGAGGAGAAATCGGTGGGCTTTGTTTGAGGTAGACCTCCCTCCAAGACCTTCATTTCACGCTGGAATCAAGACCCAATTTAATTAGGAAGCCTCTTTAAAACTCATTCCAGAATTGGAACAGGCTTAGCTTATTTGTTCTTACTATTCGCCCGTTCCCTGCAATGCCTCTGCAACCAAAGGCTATTGACAACATGCACCCTACAACAAAATGCAGCAGGGGTGGGATTCTACCGGTTTGGACCAGTTCTATGGAATCGGTTGTTACGATTCTGTCCAGTTCGGAAAACTGGCGAATCATGCCTCTGGCTGGCCCCGCCCCTCTCGGCCTGCCCCTCCCTTCCCAGTCAGTCCTTATCACGCATGCGCGACACCGTGTGCATCACTGACTACATTCTCCCCCACCCACCCCAACGATCAGCTGTGTCAGGATCCTCCTCGCTATCTGACTGCTTTGCCCAGGAAGCAAAAAAGGGGCACCAGGGGGAGTGTTGTGCCCCCATGCACTCCATTTTTTGCTTCCTGGGCCTCAGGGAAGCTTCCTGGGAGCAAAAATGCCCCTCAGGAGGCTTCCCCGGGGCCCAGGAGGCCAAAAAAAGGAGCGCGGGGAGTATGCTGCAAAAAAAGAAGAAGAAGCCACACCCCTTAGCCACGCCCCTTAGCCACACCCACAGAACCGGTAGTAAAAATATTTGCATCCCACCCCCGAAATGTGGGGACACAGCAGGCTCCTGCACAGTTGATTAAATAACAGAGGAATAGCAACAGCACTTAGACTTATGTACCACTTCACACTACTTTACAGCTCTCTCTAAGCGGTTGATAGAGTCACCCCCCAACAATCTGGGTCCTCATTTGACTCCCCTCAGAAAGTTGGAAGGCTGAGTCAACCTTGAGCCAATCAGGATCGAACTAGCCTGAAATACTGCATTCTATCCTCTGTGCTAACATGACTCCATCTACACTTCTAGTAGGAATGTTAAAATGGTTTCTCATTTTGAACTCATCCTGAGTTGTTTTTTTTTTTTTTTTTTTTTTTTTTGAGATACATGGGAGGAACCAGTGTCCGTCTAATGATGGCCACGGTCCCTAATCCCAATGTTTCAGCTGGTCATGTCCCCACAGTGTTCCAGAATCAGAATAAATTTCTGCACAGGCAGGGGATTCTACGACACTGCAAACTGAAGCCTCAATACTCCTAATCTAGAGAAAAAGTTCTGGGTTGCATAAAAGGAAGGACATGGGCTCCATGGACAGCAAAGGTGACTAACAAGCACATAACATCTGACCCTAGAAGGCAAAGTCACAAAACTGTGTCTCACTTATTTTCGCCATGTAATGTGGGAAAAATCACTGGACAGAGCAATTATGTTGGGAGCAGTCAGGGGAGGGCTGCTGGGGGTTTGCAGGGGTTCAGGAGAGCCCCTAGCTAAGATTCTGTGTAGTTCAGAGAACCCCCAAATCCCACTCTTGGCTGGCCCCGCCCATCCCACCCGCCCTTCCCAGGAGTCCCCACGCGGCCCGTTTTGGATGCAGGTAAGTACACAGCACACGGACCCTCAGGGAGGGCGAAAAACAGGCCTCCCAGAAGTTCAGGAAGGTGGAAATAGACCTGTTTCCAGCTTCCAGAGAGCTTCCAGAGCCTGGAACCTTCCGGAGGCTGTTTTCGCTGAGAAAGGCAAAAACATCTCCCCCCCATGCCGTGGTGCAGGAGGCCGACTAGGCCACGCCCACCATGGCCATACCCACACATCAACCGGACAAAGAATCCTTTGCTAAAATTTTTGAAGCCCACCTCTGGGAAGAGTTAACAGCAAAAGGAAACCAGGCCACCAAAGAACATAGTGGCTGGACACATCCTAGTTGACCTCAACCAGAGCATGGAAAAACTCAAAAAAGTAATGCAAGATTGAAGGAGAGACCTGCTCCATAGAAGCACAAAAGGTTGGGTGTGACTTAACGGATAACATCCTCCTCCTCCTCCTCCTCCTCCTCCTCATCATCATCATCATCATCATCATCACCATCATCACCATCATCAAGAATTATGGATAACTGGTACACAGCTACTGGGGACATATTCTGGGGACATGGTTTATGGAGGTTCTCATTCATCTAGGTCATGGATGTCACAAAGATGCCTTAATTTTAAAGGCAACTGGACTTTTTTTAAAAAAAATTCTTTAAGATGTTTTGCTTCTCATCCAGGAAGCTTCTTCAGCTCTAACTCACTGATGGGGAATAACAGAGCTGTGAAAGGAACTTTGGAGGTGTTCTAGTTAGGGGTGGGATTCTACCAATTTGCACCTATTCGCTAGAACTGGCTGTTAACATTCTAAGCAGTTTGGAGAACCGGTTGTTAGAATAAATTACTGGCCTAATCCTATAAGGAAGGCAGGAAGGAAACATTCTGGTGTTGCTTACAGAAACTGCCTCTCCGTTAACCCTTATTACATTCTTGGCAGGACTAGACTTCCTGTCTCTGGAACATCTCTGGAGTTTTTTTCCCCTCCTTTACTGGTACTTTGCTTGTGTGGAGTGACCATTCAAAGTTACAATGGCACTGAAAAAAGTGACTTATGAGCATTTTTCACACTTACGACTGTTACGACAGTCATGAGAGGCCAGGTGAGGAGATATGTGCCTCGATGTGAGTGATATTGACTTGGCCACACCCAGCCAATAACATGACCACCAAGCCATGTCCATCCAGTCACATGACCACCAAGCCTCACCCACCACCTAAGCCATGCCTACAGAACCAGTTGTTAAAAATTTGAATTCCACCCCTGGTTCTAGTCCAATCCTCTGCTCAAGCAGGGACCCCTATACCATTCTGAATAAATGTCTGTCCATCTCTTCTTAGAAATCTCCAGTGATGGAGCACCCATACTTTCTGGAGGAAACAAATTCCACTGTTAGGAAATATCTCTCTAATTGTAAGTTGGTTCATTCCTTTATTTAGTTTCCATCATTGCTTCTTTTCCTGCCTTCAGATACTTTTATTGTTTAAGACCTTTCTTTAAGAATGTTAACGACTGGCTGGCTTTCAGAGAAAGTAACTACCTTCCATTCTGTTAAATCAAGGTGGGGTTATTGTTTCTTTTTCATACGTCATACAGAAATTTTCTGACAGTGAGAGCAATCAACCCATGGAACAGAAACTGCCTTCAGAAGTTGTGGGATCTTCATCACTGGAAGCTTTCAAGAAGAGACTGGACTGCC